TCATAATTATTGCATGATGGTGGCGGTCATAGCTGCCTGACACGAACCGAAAGGAAATCCGTGCAGGCGTTCCAGCTACCCAAAGTTGGAGGCATCCAGATGCCGACTTCACGGGTGTAGAACGCCTCACACCCATCTCCTACCGGACATGATTCAAAAACCAAAACCCTGTGCTATTAACATGTTCGGCCATGAAGGGGACAAAGCCATCGTACACCGAATCAGCTCCAGGTCCGATGATGTCCGCAGAATCAATTTATTCCTCATCGAAAAAGGCGACCAGTATCACTACGCGACGATTAAAAGCTTGAGTCGACTGTTGTACGACCAATAGAACCTAGCCAGAAAGAAACATTTCTGTGAGGGAGCCTGCACTGCTTCACGCGAGCAGACCTGCTGGAATCGCATAAGGAGGATTGCCAAGGCGTGGGAGAGACTGCTGTTCGAATTGACATGCCTGAAGAAGAGAAAAACATCTTAAAATTCGTCAACCATAAACATCAAATGTCCGTACACTACGTCATCTACGCCGACTTACGCCCTGATCAAACAGGTCAAACACATCAAGCCCGAACAAAGTTTCACGTACGAAACGCAAGAACACGAAGCCTGCGTGTTCAACGAGTTAAAAAAGCAAAACAGTGACAGGTGCAAGGTGTTTTTACACGGACACGGATTCCCTGCTTATTGGAAATTCGTACCGAGGACATGTACGAGGACATGGCGCAACACATGTTCAACGAGTTAAAAAAGCAAAACAGTGACAGGTGCAAAGTGTTTTTACACGGACACGGATTCCCTGCTTATTGGAAATTCGTACCGAGGACATGTACCTGTACGATACAAGTTGTTACACCACCACCACCATCCCCCAACCCCCGACCACGCCCTACACGACCAAACGAATAAAAAGGTCCCCGGCAAGATGAAAGACGAATGTGATGGGACACCCATCGTGGAATACATTGGGTTAAGAGACCCAAGATGTATTCCATCAAGAAAGCCGACAACGATGAAATCCGAAAGGCTAAGGGTGTGAAAAAATGTGTGGTGAAACAGCACATCAAGCACACCCTCTTCAAACAGGCTCTGGGGCGGTGTGGTAGCCTAATGGTTAAAGCGTTGGCTCATCACGCCGAAGACCCGGGTTCGAATCCCCACATGGGCACAATGTGTGAAGCCCACCGTGATGTTGCTGGAATATTGCTAAAAGCGGTGTAAAACCAAACTCAGTCAGTCAGTCAGTCAAACAGGCTCTCTTCAAGAATAATGTTCAAACACCAAATGAATGCGTTAAGAAGTGACAAGCACAAAATCTACGGGATCACCCTCAACAAGACGTTGCTGTCCCTCTTGGACACAATGGATCGCCATCGATGGCCTCACGACTTACGCGTACGGACACCTACAGTATAGTCAGTCTAGACCTCGACTCTTTGGGAGTTTCTAATACCCCTATAAAAGAAACTCCATTCGGCACGTCGAGGCCTAGATAGTCGTGTAATGTCTCACGCTCGGGAAACAGGTCAAAAGCTTATGGCAACACTTGTTGGAATGGATCAAATATAAAACTGGAATCACTCCAAAACCAAGTGTAACACACATCATATTGAAGACGCGATGTACTACCAAACATTACATATATACAGGCAAATGCCCCCCCCCCGAAAAAGAAAGAAAGAAAGAAAATAAACAAGAAAAAAACAACCCCGCACATAAATGGCTTTAAATTAGATGTACAAGACTCCTATAACTCCTATAACGCCAGTAAGCAGCTCCTCTACACAGATTATAGATTCATCTCCTTCTGGTCTTCATGCCACAACGTTTCTACATAATTCCTTTTTTGCCATACTCTGCCTTTTCGAAATGTATGCCATAAAATAGAACATGTCTTGATCTACAAGGTACGCTATTTTGAAAATGTATGTTGTACATGTTGGGATACCTACAAAAAAGAAATAATGTGATAAAAAATATCTTCTGAACCTCAAATAATGTGTACACAAAGCAATGGTGATTCGGGAGTAGACTTTGGAGTGTCGCTTGGCGATGTGGCCCGATCTTCTGCTCCCGCCAACGGTTGGCCACGGTTCTGCCACTAACCAGTATCGACCTTGGATGTGTCCAATCTGTCAATGTTGTACTTTGGCATGGACACATCACCCAAATAATGTTTTCCTGATTCATGACCATGTGCTCTTCTCATAGTCGGGATCTTACAGTTGGCACTGTTTTCAGCATATATTTCTTACGAACATGGACAGTGACTAATTGAGTGAACCTTAAATTAATAGTCACATTGGCATTATTTCAGCCATATCGTGACTATGAAACTTGTATATTAATAAAAACATAATCAGACAATGTAAGTACCAGTCGACCAAGGACAGTAAACAACTAGACAGATTTAGACTTAAAACGAGCATTATGTCCCAAAACGATAATTCTATTGTTACGGTTGATAATTTGGAGTGACAAAAGGTTTGTGAATGCCCTTTTCAACCAGAAAAATAGAACACAGACAAGTCTAAAATATTCAATGATATATTGATCAAACAGTGTGTAATGTACAATGAATGACAACACTGATGTCTAGTACAGTGCAATTGAGTCACAAATCTAAAATATTGGGTAACAGATATACTGACTGAACTTTGTTGACAATGACAGCAGTAGAGTAGACAAGCACGGTCGGTCTTGAAACGTTGATAAACTTGACGATGGCAGACAGATGTGTATCATAAATGTAACATATACACAATTTGGGATTTCTACTTCCTCGGGAAAGCACGGATTCTTGTAAATCACTGTATGGCCGTGTGTATCACTGTATGGTTGTTTGAATCACAGATCAGAGATCTCACACATCAGCCATCGCAGTGACCAAAAAAAAATTGGATTTCTGAGAACTAGTAGCCTAGCTCATACACTTTTATACCCATCTAGCAACTGTAAATTGGAGCGGCTCCCACACAAGAAAGCTTTGAATTCACTATGCCTTTCAGAAAATGGTCAAATGCAACATATATTATATTTGGAAACACACAGGCATTAGTTATGTCGATTATGATACTACTGTAGCCTTTTGTATTCAGGGCATTATTGATTGTACAGTTTTAGTATTTTTACTGTAAAATCTTATATATATATATATATATATAATATATATATATTTTCTCATAATCTTTGCAGACACTTCAAAAGACAATTTGTCGTCCATCTCCTAGGTCCAATGGTGGTTGACTTGGACACCCTTGTTATTAAGCATTATCAATGTCATGCTGAAGACCTGGGATTGGCGCATAGTGCATAACCATTTTCTTTAGGAGAAGGTGAGAATTTATGGATGTCAGCTTCTTTGCAATATTATTACTAACAGCGTAAAGCCATGCTCATTAATTCCCTCACTACCATACAGATAGGAGTAAACATTTATTCTTATGTGTTGCAAACGGCATGAAAGGTATTTCGATTTTAAAATATGGCTGAAATGGCATGACAGACATATGTGATAACAATGGGCGATTAGCGCATGTTCATAAATTCAATTCAACCATTGTTTATGTCATAATTTAGGATACAGTTACTAACACTATGGCTGATGTTCTACCTAAAACATGTCCAATTCTTTCATATTGCTATACCTAATGTGCCGAATCGTTATTACACCATGAGTACAGTAGTTTATACTTTGGTATGCTACGACAAATAAATTAACTACTATTGAACCTATATTTAAAACGGATTGTTTTAAACAGTAACAGTGATGTACACATCTTCATAGAATATTCAATCAGCTATTTGATACAGTAGTTGAGAAAACATTCGACTCCTAACATAACAAAGGCTCCTGTAACTCCAGCTACACACATGACCCAAACACTCCGCAAGCTACTGATGTCCACTTTCGTCCTTGCAGGTACATATTCCTCACGCTGTGTGCTGTTCCACTTCCTTGTCAAGGCTTCCAATACACCGTTATCATACAGACGGATGAGTCTGGAATTAGGAACACTTACATTTGCTTTAAGATTGCTTAAATATTCTTTTCGTTTAGGGGTGTAGGACTGACTGACTGACTGAGTTTGGTTTTACACCACTTTTTGCAATATTCCAGCAACATCACGGCGGGGGACACCAGAAACGGGCTTCACACATTGTGCCCATGTGGGGATTCGAACCCGGGTCTTCGGCGTGACGAGCCAACGCTTTAACCATTAGGCTACCCCACCGCCCCTTTAGGAACGTAACTAGTTTGTATTTAACGGCACATTCTGCTTTCCCGTTTACTTCTCCATAACATTATTATTTGATCATCAACACATCGCAATGAGGACCACAATTGCGACAAATGGAAGCAAATTGCACCAAAGTATATATCAGAGGATAATATCTATAATATAAACATACACATTAGTACTTACTTGTCTGAAAAAAGCTCTGCAAGAGGTGAGTTGAGAGGAAAGGGCAGGCTGAGATAAAATGGACCAAGACCACATGTCATCCTTTGTAGGTTATTGATTGTAGTTTCCATACCATCAGCAGTGTTTGAACCGGTCATGAATGCGTAGTAGCCAGACTGTAGGAGCATCTTGTAGTGACGATCCTCGTCCAGAGAGTTTTGTATGTTTGAAGATCGGGTGGCCAACACCTTTGTCCAGATTTTCTGACTTACACTATCAGTAGAATTCTGAAAAACGTTCAAAAAGTACATTTGTTAGATAGCATCTGATATAAGTCGGTTGCAGATATGGGGCGTGAGAAACGTTCATCCGTATTTCATCCGTGACATCAAATTACATTCTCGAAATGTGATCAATAGATAAGTAAAGCGATATTTTGGGGGATTGTAATGGGCCTTCCGCCGACAAAAGTTAATGTTCAGCTACAACAGTGCGTAAACGTATAGCTTTGACCATTTGGGTTGAGAATAAACTTCAGCAGACAAAAGTCCTATATATGTCCTATTTCCTTGTGTGTCTTTCCCAACAGTATGGCTAGGCGAGGTCAATGCAACTACACAGCGTACAAATAGTACAGACCTTGTACAGATCTTCATAGGATGATCCTTTACGAATAAATATTTTGAAGTCTTCGTTTTCTGCAAGGTCTTCCATTGTATTAAAAGGGTTTATCTCTTTCACCACTGATATAATGGCAACCAGGTTACCAGTGTATACTGCAACAATGCTGATGCAAAACATCCACCAGCTTGTGTGGAATATGCGGCCCGGTACGCTCTGTGGGAGATGCAGGGAACCTGTGGATGCAAAGTTTACTGTTGTTAAATTTACTACTCAAAAGGAGTTAAAACACCTGAAACTTTCATATCGCTGAAGATTAACTGCTGTCATAAGAAAGAATCGCGTGTTACTTAACTTCTTTGGAGTAGACTTTGGGTGGTTTGAGAAATTCTTGTATATATTGTAACTAAAATAGCATCCTCCTACTTATGTTCTGTAATGACATTTACATGAGGAACTTCAGCGGCGGAAGCGCAGAGACGCCAAGCCTTTAAGATCATTCCAGGAACAATACTTCTTAAGGTCATTTGACGAATCATGACTTTTTCCTGTGATATTCCCCTTCATTTCACGCATGTAGGTAATGGAAGAAGCTGCACCAGATACATAACCTGCTGACCTTGCCTTGAGTCAACCTCTGGCCTCACTGTGGTTTACAATTGTGTTTTACATTTAAAAGAGAGAATTGATTGAGCACCATACAACTCTTGCTTGGATGTTGTCTTACAAGGTTACAACATTCAAGGCTTCATTAAAACGTTTGATGTTAGATGTGGAAAATATTTTCCAAATTTGACACATCAGTGACAAATTTTATAACTGATGCAAATAACATATATATATAATACATATATACTGTGTATTCCCAATATTTTTCAGGTGAACGGTGACTACCTTTTCCCGAACACGTTGTGATTCACTCTCCAATAGTGAGGATTATGTGATGAATCACTATTACCGAGTGTATGACGCTGCTTTTAGCAGATATTTATCATGCTTGAGTGAGTGAGTTAAAGTTTAGCTTCTTAAAAAAGTTATACGCTTATAATAAATACATAAATTGAAAACATGTCTACATAAGTTTGCACAATTTTCAGAGATGTTAACAATTTGTATTTCCAATCATTTAAGCAATGATAATATTAATTCTTTACTCAAACGTTGAAAGCCAACATTGTCCACAAATCTAAATACCTTTATTGAACGGCACACGAATCACCGTCATGACACTGTCCGATGTTGATGGTGGATGTGTAGGAAACTCATCAGTCCCAATATGCTCTCTAACTCTGTATCGTTCCAGCAGTGTATACAGACCTATGCACCAGGCCATCGTCAGCAGTCCGCATACATACACTTCCCATTTAAATACAGACAACAACAACATCCAGCGGTTGTCATTAGTTGACAGTTTCTTATAGACGACTTCACATACTGATTGGTACAGAATAGAAGAAAATGCAAAGGACTTGCTTCTCTTAAGGACTAGTCCGTAAGGTATGCCAGACAGGTCGACTTCCTAGAAAAACAAACAAAACGGAACAAGGTCAAAATGATTGAATGTGTAATGTTCCAATGGTCCTACATATGCAATCTGATTGATTCAATACATCCCTCCTTACATTTCGTTCTACCATTCCAAGGAGACCGCTCCATGTTCCGTTCAATTCACCCCAAGACTGGTCAGGTGGTTCGATCAGCTCATATCTGAAGTGAAATCAAAACGTATTGGTCATTGTAAAATGTAAAACATAAGTACTTAATGAAAGTGAACTGGCATGACAGTGACAGTATATTAACATAATTACATCTAATACTAATGTTTTTTTCAGTTGCACACTTCATTTGCTCGGTTGTTCTGTTTGTATCGTGATATTGGCAATAAACAAGATCCTTCGGGTTAGAATTGGTCCATGTTTGCCGCTATCGGGATCGGGTTGACTTGGTTGACACATCGTATCCCGTAGACCATCGCTTATGGTGTTGATCGCTGGATTGTCTGGTCTAGGTTCGATTATTTAGAGATGGCCGCCATATAGCTTGAATATTGCTACATGCGGCGTTAAACAAATAATAAAAGGATAAGAAATAAAAGACTGGTACAAATAATGGAAATGATTATTGATAAGACGTACGTGAAATTGAGATATTCACCAAGGCTGTCAAATAAGTCCTTGCAGGCATGAGTGTACACAATGGACGCATTCGTTGAAGTTGTTTTCTTGCAAAATTGTTCCCACTGCAGAGAAGACAAGCATACATAAAGATCAACTGTATTCTAAAACCAATTCGTTGTGATCATTTTTTAGCCAGATACACGAGAGAAGTTGTTTACGGTTGCAGTTTAGGTTATGCTTTTTTTTCTCAAAAAGGTTATTTTTCATGTTAATCAGTTTCATGTGACTGAAGTTTTCATTTTAATGTCTTTGATAAATATTGCTAAAGTATAGTGAATATGTTGCTATTTCTTCTTTCTGAAATATCATCCAGATCTGCACTTATGTGACAACCCTTTTATGTTATGCGAATTATCCAAAACCGTTTAAACATGTGGATGCATTTATTTACAGCCATGATGCCAATTTTCAGTTTTCTTCCATTCAGCATGTATGCTGTATTGGGGAAGAGAGGGGCTACAAAGGCGGCGTGTATTTTCCTGTTATTCGTGATGTGGCCGACTGATGACCATTGTCGACCGTTGGGCTTCCACAAAAGAGTACTGATTCTAACAATAGAGCTTCCGGATATACCGTTTTCCTGAAAACAAAAAAGTAAAACACATCTTAGGGAATAAAACCAAATGTTCAATGCAGAAGTACTGACACTCAGTCAATGATGGTTGCTATGCTGGGTCAATCATTTTCTTCAAGTTTCATGTCAGGATATTTCTTATCTAATCACCTTGGCTGCTATTGCTATGTTGTCCACATCAGCCTGTACTTCCGGTAAATTTGTCGGATCTTGGTTTAGGAAGATCCATTTCGAAAAATGACGTAGCAGCGTTCCTTGTCCGTATTGATTGTCTCTACTGGAGCACTTTGCCATATTGAACAAATAATGAATGTATATTATATTCATGATGACATCTGTATGTTGCAGTGAAAAGACGAAATATATTTAAATGATTGAACTTACAGGTGAAACCAGTGTCAAACAAATATCTTAATTGCTTTGTAAAAGAACGTAAAGCATTATTTTAGGAGTAGACATACGGCAATTGTGATGCGTGGCACGCAGTTGTAGATACCGTCACAGAAGACGACGAAGTTGAATAATTTACGATAAATGTTTAGACTGTTCTTCTTGAGAGTTCTCTCTATTAATCCAGTCAGGCTCTGTTCAAAGGCGTCCATTAGCAAGAAAATTATAGTCACACCATGCTGTGTTGTCCATTCCTCAATAAAGTCATGTGTGTCTCTTCCTTTTAGGAAATGGAAACGTGAGATAATAACAGGAACACGTCTTGCATGTATAATAAGCATATTTGCCTATGATAACAGCAACATGTTATAAGTGCAGACCAAGGATACCATGACATGTTGTACTTCTGGGAAGTACTGTGTTTGAATTTTAAGGATCAATAGAGTTTGGTGATCTACCTTCAGTTGTTGGCGATCTATGGCCAGTTTTTATATTGTATTGTCCAAATAGTGCTATTAGTTTTAATTTTCCACGCTAGTTTTAGTTGTAATTGTGATATTCTAGTTGTTTATACTGTCCTTCGTCGACAAGTTTTTATAGTATACATCTATTCCATTTCGGTGTCACATGTGTTTTCGTCACGATATGGCTGAAATATTGCCGATGCGACGTTAAATAATAACTCACTCACTAAGGATCAATAGAAATATACTTGCCCATAGATGACTGACTGACAAATATCAAGGATGAGCCCGGGTTCAGAGACATCTTGTTCAATACGTGATGAAGTTCATTCTTGCCAATTTTTATTTTGGAAGGCGCTGTTTAATAAAATTGAGATGAAAATATACTGGAAAAGAAACGTCGTAATATTGGACATATATGTATCAATGGAGTATTTGAACTAAGTATTTTTTTTAAATATACACCAAAAGTCAAGTTGAGGAAAACCTGAATCGTGGTCGTATAGACTGTTTTGCCCAATAAAGTATTGTTTGAGATTGAGGTTAAAAATGTTTTGCTTGTGGAAAGGGTAGAGTTCGCACAAGCACAACATTGAAATCGAGATGCACGTGCATCATACATGCATTCACGCATAAATTGCCGGCTTGAACGTCAGTCGTTAACTTGTTTACTGAACACAGCAGCTATGGCTAGGTTAACGAGAGCTCAACGACAACAAGCCATTGGCCGTCTCGGCGCTAGTCAACGTGCTCGAGTCATTGCTAATGACTTCAGTTGCAGCGTAAGACCGATAGAACATCTTAGACAGCGATACAACACCACCAACAACACTGATGACCATCCACGTAGTGGTCGACCCCGTGTAACAACACGTCACCAGGACCGTCATATCGTCCATCAACACCTCTCGTTAACCTAGCCATAGCTGCTGTGTATGTTTTCCTCAAACTTGACTTTGACTGCCGGTGTATATCTAAAAAGAAATAGGTTCAAATACTCCAATGATGCTTAAATGTCATTTCCATTATTACGACGTTTCTTTTGCCTTTCAGTATATATGAAACATTAGTACCTTAAAATAGAAAATCTGATGTGATGTGGTTATTTGGTAGTGCTGTTTTAAGCAACGCGATATTAAACATATAAAATAGTTTTTTCTACCAACCTGTCAAGTCCTCGGGAGGAGTACAGGAGGAACCGACGATAAGCACCAAATGAGCAGTTACATATATGTACATGCGTACAACCTCCATGGTTCTGGGCGTTCACATGTCATTCAACACTAATTCCTAGGCCAACTTCAAATTGTCGACTTACTGCAGAAGATGAAGGAATTGTTCGATGTTAAGTATATGCTGCTGTTACTTAGGCTCCGTGTGTCATATACATAAATGACAAGCTACACTGCATCTGCATCCACAGATGGAACTGAGATAATGGTTGGCAAGCATATTGTATTCCAGGTGACCTGGTGCGTGTTCAATACCTACTTTAACATAACATGTGAAAAACATAAGCAAAACAAAGTGCATAAAGCTAGTGTGATCTACTTGCTCTGTTTGTCGAAGTTAACAGCAAATGTTTAATGGAAACACTTTGGTGGAGGAACTTTCATCAACAGAGTCAATAACAAATATTGACAAAACCATAAACACAAGTGGCAAAGACAGAACAAATGAGATACAAGTAAGCATTATTATTCGTGGCACGATTTTGAATACTTTATCTTGGCAGTGCTTTGTTTTCGTGTGTTTTTTAAACAAAGTGACAGACAGAACTACATGCATGCACTGAGTACAGTAACAACCATTGACATACCAAGACTATATATTTCAAAATCGAAACAATATGTCCGTTCTTACAGAAACAAGTAGACACGTGCTAAACATAGGTAACTGCTGGCATGTCAAAATGAATATTTCTTGAAATGACTGGACACATATCGCGGTGATGTGCACTGTCTAAAGGAACATATTCATGGAATGACACACAATTTTAACCTTTCTGAGATCAGACACAGACATCAGCAGAAACTGTTAAACTTCTCGTGGTTGTGGTGGTATTTGTATTACCTGCTATTATTACCACATATTACCTATGCCCACACGATTTGGAAACCAACAAAAGTCAATGTCACTTTGACCAGTAGAAGGCTCGTTGTAAAGCTGTAAAATGTTGAGATTGTTAAGATGACTCCAACTGACAGTTTGAAGTACCTGAAGTGAATCTGAACAGATGATGGATTATTTAAGTTTTGTTGTTAACTATGTTAAGCTGTAGAGACAGATTGGGTCTCAACAGTGGATATTAACGAACTGTCTGGGATTATTGAGGAGACCTTCTTAGATCCAATGACAGTAAAACTGGCAACTTTGCCACCATTTGTGGATGCGTCTGTAAGAATGGGTCTATTGGTAGCATGCAGTTGAAACATCAAAGGATTTGTCTCGGACGTTTCAGTTTGTGAGGGTAAGGTCTCACTCTGCCTTCGCCATCTGCCAGCACGGGGAAGACCGATGTCAGCAAGGTGATAAGATAATGAGATCAATTCTAAATGCAGAGAGGTGTGCGTGAATCTTGATTCCAATAGGTGGAACCAGGCCCTGCAGATTAAGAAACAGATTTTCATAGAGAGGGTTGTAAACACACCTGCATACTGGGTTTTTATTGAAAGTTCCATGTGGCATTTGTCAAGGGGAGGTTTATCAGCCTCCACATACATACTATTCATCGTAGAGGTCCTATAATCTCCAAGATGTAGACTTAGGCCCTGGTGGTGAATAGTTCCACCATAGACATTGGAGCCATAATCTAGTTTAGAAAGAATTAATGACCAGTACAAGGTTGCCTGGCCCACTCCCCAATCAGAATTTGAATGTAAAAAGCACTTTGCCTTACCCCAACCACCCTTGTAACACAGGGTTACCCCGACCACCCTTGTAACACAGGGTTACCCCGACCACCCTTGTAATACAGGGTTACCCTGACCACCCGTGTAACACAGGGCTACCCCGACAACCCTTGTAAAAAGGGATACCTCGACCACCCTTGTAACACAGGGTTACCTTTACCACCCTTGTAACATAGGGTTATCC